AATTTACCATACCTAAATTAATTTTACTTTCACAACAAGAAATAAGTTATTCAAAATTGAAATGTAACCAAATGTTGAAAAGCCATTGTTGATGTGATAAAGAGATATTCCATCGTCATATCCGAAACATTAATCACTGAATAAATTATAAGTGCCATCCGCTATCAATTAAAACATAATACAGATGTCTGTAAATGTCTAGATTGTTGTTTGCAGAAATACTTTGATTGCTTTGTCAAGCCAGTCTGTGTGAAGGCTTTTATTTAACTTTTGAAGTGAGCAAGACAGCCATGACGATCATGGTTTCGCATATTAAATCCTTAGACGTATCGCCAGCCCCCTCCAGTGTTTCTATTTCCGCCTAGTCTGTCATTATCTCTTGGGAGAAAATTAATTTTTCTGTTTGTCAGTAGCTGCTGTGTAAATTCAAACAGATAAATAAGTTTATATTATAAACTTTAATAAGTTTTATATTATAAAATTCAATAAGTTTAAATTATAAACTACTGTGGGCAAGTATTGCTATCTCATATGAACTCTATAGGATATGTCCCACAGCTATCTGTTCTAGTCAGCAAAATCTACAAGTTTTATATATAAGTGGAAACCGATCTCTTCCCTCGCACAACCAATATTTTAGTTCAGCTCTTCTAGCTCCCTATAACTTTTCAAAAGCTCTTGCCAGGAAAACAGAGTGAGAAAGGGATTGGGGGTATGGGTGGGAGAGAGATGTCTTTTTTCAAACTAAGGAGAGAAAATGATAACAAAGGATCATGTTTTTATTTAACACCCCTAGGTTTGGCGCAATGGGGTTTAGTGGAAAACTGCTTCTTGGTCTCCTCCAAGAAAACAAGAGAATGTGTACAGTACGACAAAGTTCCTATCTATCTGGATCAGTGACTACTAGAATACCAAGGGAGCTGAAATCAAATTAAGATAGTTGGCCTCCACATGAGATCAATTAAACCATCATCTCTAGAGTGAGGCACTGTGCTCTTAAACGCTTCCCAGGGTGATTCTATGGCATGACCAGTGTCGAGAATCCTTATCTTAGCACAGAACACAATTCATTATGAGATATGGGATTCCTTTTGAGAAAAGGTCACAAGAGACTGCAGAATACATATAAGAAGACTGTAGAATTTACACAGGATATACACAAAAGTCAACCAGAACACATAAAAGAGGCATTCTTACCTGCAATCAGAGACATAGAAAGCTGGAAGGGCTTATTTTTATCTGTTGACGCTAATCTTTGATTATACACCTTCATTGAAGGGAAAAAATGAGAGCAGGAGCCACATAGATATCTATTTAGAGACTGTAAAACTATACAACTGTATTAACACATATGGGTATTACAAAACTCACACACAATAAAAATACTAAGGGATGAAATAAAACAACAATTTTGGCCTAAGTGCAACCAGCTAGTATAATACAAGGCGTAACACACAAGGTCAAGGCCCACGGTGTCTGTTCTTCCCAACAGGCCACCAGCTTCATGTCTTATAGAGAGTAATGGCTGGGTGTGGGGGTGGGGGTGGAAGCTACATTTCCACAACCCCCTTGCCAGCTACTCTCCAGCTCGATTCTGTCAAAGCGAGGAAGGAAGATTTTTCCCTGCTGTGGAAGCAACTCTGGCTGCAGCTTCCCGATCTGTAACTGCTTCTTCCCTATTGCAACGCTAGTCATTCCATTTTGAATTTGTCACCCACTTGCAGCAAATTCCCTGTCAAATCTATTTCTATTTGAAGTATCTAGAGGTGTTTGTTTCCCTGATAGACACCAGCAGAGTCATCACTAAAGGTAGGGTTTGGAAGCCATATTTAAAATGATAGTGGTAATTTTACTTCGCTGATGTTAAGTGACATCGAGTTCCAGCTCACAGCAGCTGTTGGGTTGAACTGCTGACCTTGTGGGTAGCAGTCCAGTGTTTATCCTACAGCACCACAGTAGGTCACATCTAAAAAGGCATGGTCAGGTAATTGAATGAAGTGGCAGTTTCTTTCATGCCATTAAAAACACGTGCTTGCACGAAGGACAACTCAGTAAGGAAAGTATAGTGAATGGATGGAATGTACCGTATGATTAAAAATGCTACAAAACACCAGTTGTTGTTGTTGTTGTTAAGTGCCATCGAATCGGGTCCGACCCATAGCGTTAGCTGCTGTCAATAAGAAATTTACTTGTTTTTTTAACAATCCAAATGCTGGCACTGTCCAGAAGAATTTAGCATGTTTGTTTATAATTGTTACACAGTTAGACTGCTAAAACTTGTTCACTGAAACCTTTTGACCTGCATTAATGCTTTATGTCCCCGTATTTATATTAAAAATTCACACAAATGAAAATGGAAAACCTGCCAACACCTGATCTCTGTCCCCTATTTTTCCATTTGCATATACTTAGGTACCTTTTGACCCCATTGGGGGAGAATGAGGGGGAGTAATCTAATGTTCAGAACTACCAATAACAAAAAGAAGAGATTAAAAAAAAAATGAAATGCTTCCCATTATAGTGGATTCTTAAGCACGTTCTCCACCTATGCAGCAGGCTAGCTGGATGTCTTTTGGCAGAATTGTTACACGTTTGCAAGGAGAGCACACAGGTTGGTGTCTTCAAAGAGGCCAACTAGATAGGCTTCACTTGCCTCCTGCAAAGCACCAACAGCTGCACTCTGGAAGCGCAGATCTGTTTTGAAGTTCTGAGCAACGCCTTGCACCAGAAGCCAGACGGGAAGCTTATGGTATCAGAAGTTCGAAGACTTCTGATAAAGTCTAATTTCACGAAGTGCCACAGTACCAGGCCTATAATGATGAGGTTTCTTCACCCCTCCAGTGGAGGGTGACTCTTATGAGAGAGCAGCTTTGGTAGCTAGTTGCTTCCTGGGTGCTTCCCATGGGTTGATTTGCAGGCTGTCTGCTTTGTACGAGCCATGGTGCAGAGACCTCCTAACTTATCCTCCTTCTCCTTCAGCTGGAGCTTGGCAAGCTACAGGCGGCACTGACATTAGAGAGGGATGGCCCAAGTGACAATTTCTTGAAGACAAGTGGTTTATCTATTTGGTTCATCAGGGATATGTATCTTGTGCAAAATACAGGCATTGCAAATTTATTAAAAAGTTATTTAGAAAAGATAAATCTTGTTAACTGTGGTAGGATACTGACATGGTTAACCACTAACAGTCTTCCCGATGGAAGGCCTTTACTGCTCACTATAAATTCAGACAACATATACTAACTGTGATGATTCCAACAATAGTTTCAACAGTGGCTGCCTTCTTCTCATTGTAAAACTTAAGATCCAAAGTGAGTATTTTTTCTATGCGAGGCCACTTGTCAGACTATTTACTAAGTTTGGATTAGTGTCCAACATTTTATACCTTCAGCTTTCACTGTTGTAAAATATCTTTGAGAATTCCTTTTAGTGTGAAGGTTTTTGCTGGCATCACCGCTTCTGGAATAGCTGCATCTTTTTGGCCAAACTTTATTTACGTCAGTAAATTTGCTTTCACTATGTTCCTATTGACTCAATGGCAACAATCACCACTTCCGCTGCTACCGCCACGTTACCATGGCTACACACCCAGGTTCTTGAGTGGTGGCAGGGCTAACATTCTCACAGCCAAATATGACATCATTTATTCAACTCTAATTCTCCTTCCAGAAATATCACTTTTTGTTCTAAACTTTGTATTGTGATTTGGGAGAAGGTTTATAGAGCAAGTCAGTTTTCAATTCATAAACACTTAACTTCATGTCATTGGTTGCAATCCTCACAATGTAACATGCATCCCACTTCCATCACGTGTTTATCATTTCCATTCCTCCTCCTTTCCTAACCTTCCTGCCTTCTGAGCTTTATCCTTAGGCAAATGTTGCCCTTTTGATCCCCAATGGTTGATTGTTCTTCCCAGTGTGTACCTCACTAGTGTTACTGTTTCCCTTCTAGACTTGTCTACTGTTTGGCTAAAAGTTGAGCCATGGGGTGAGTTCAGTTCCAGATCTGAAGCACCATCACGCTTTGCTTCTTTGTTGGCCAATTCCCTCTCTAGAGTAACCATTTTTGTCAAATGTCACATGGGTTAATCACCCGGAGACAAGGAGGCAACACAATCACACATTTTTCTGAATAACAGATGTACAGTGGGCATCACTGACAGACTTTGAAAGAAGTGTCGAGATCAGTGTGCGTTATGTGTGTGCATCTGTTATTTACTTAGTCATCTGTGGACTGAAGAGCTAGCAATGGAGTCTGTACTTTATGCAATTACTCACAGTTAATACACCATGGTAACTAAAATCTGAACCGTGCTGTTGGGGAACTGGTGTTATTAACCAAACTGTGGTAACTAAAATTCATACATATCAGATACGGGTAAAAAGGGGACTGCCTGGACATACAATGCATGCAGAACAACGTAGGCCCATCTTGAATGTACAGCTCAGCACGAACTGTCAAACTGAGCACTGAACACATGGAATTAGCACCCAGATCAAGAGACATCATCAGCACCCTCAAGCTTTTATGTCTCCCTCCAGTTAGAACCATCCTGAACCCCTAACCCACATAATAGTGAATTCTTACAGCAAGGATTCACCTTGTTGTTGACATACACAAATAAAATCAAACGAGACACTTACTATAGCATCACGTGTGTGACCTTCACTATGTTGCTGTGTCACTGTTGTGTTACCTTATTAAGTTACTAAAACAAACATATTTATCTAATCCACTGCTGCTGTGCATCTAGGTACTTTCCAGTCACTATTAACACTCTAGTACATGTTTTTTGTTTTGTTTCAAATAAGTTTAAATCACAGTTTAGAATGTTCTGTCTCTTGGCACTGAAGGTGCTCAAGAGGTTGGCCAGTGTGGGAGACATGAAATCCCAGCGCCTCACAGCAAGCGCTGATGGGTGGTCCTATGGGAATCTATGCATCTATAATACAGGAAATCATAATAACAAAATGAAGAATGAAATACAGAGGACTTACATTGTTTTGATGATTAGCAACAGGTTTGTAATTGGTTGTTACAACTTTGTCCAGCTGTTGCGATAGTCTTACAGGCTTGGAAGATTCTTCTATTTGCAATCTGAAAAAGAGCAGACATTATTAACAACAAATTTCCTTGTTCAGTAGAGTCAAATCTCAGGAGTTATTCTTACAATTTTTCTTACTCAACAAATAACACAATGCTGTTGTAGTTTTTAAGTGCCACTGAATTGGTTCCAACCCATAGTGACCCTGTGTAGGGTTTCTGAGGAACAGTGGTGAGCTTGAACCGTTAACTTTGTGGTTCAAACTAACTTTGCAGTCCAGCGCCACACCAGTACACAATATGAAACACACACACACACACACACACACAGACTGTGTCAAAAATTATCTGCATCCTGCAGAATTTATTTTAATCAACTTTTAGAAAAAACAACTACATCATTTTCCGACATAAACTCCTGGCTTTTCAATACACTTTGTCCACTCTCAACAAGTTTTCCCGCTCCCTTATTAAAAAATGTTTTAGGCTGAACTACAAATAACAAAATACACCACTGTCTTCAATTCTTCATCAGAGGTTAGTCTTAATCCTTGAAAGACTGCTTTCAAGGTATCAAATAAGAGAAAGTTCGACGGAGTAAGATGAGGACTAGGGAGGATGCTTTAAAAGCTCAAAAGGAAGTTTTTGCAAAATGTCAGTAGTGTGGGCAGAGGTGTGTGGACGTGCATTGCCATGTAAGACCATGACGCCTTTGGATAGCAGTTCTCTGTGTTTAATCCGAATTTTAGGCTTCAGTTCTTCAGTGAGCATCTCACTGTAAGGCCACTGCTGATTGTTGAACCTTTTTCCTGACAGTGTTCCAATACTGGCCCTTGAGAATTCCAGAAAACTGTAAGCACCAATGGTTGACTTTTGACCTTTTCTTGAGGATGTTTTCATTTCATACTCTGCTGTTTACTCTCAGGTTAGTAGTGATGAATCCATGCCTCGTCAACAATAACATTTTTTTAAAAGAAACTTTTACCTTCGAGTATGAGTCCAAATTTTGTTTGCAGATGTCCAAATGCTTCTGTTTATGCTCGTCCATGAGTTGTTTCTGTATCTATCTTGCACAAACTTTTCGAAACCCAAGTCCGTCGTAGATTATTTCATAGGCAAAGAAAGTTATGGCTGATTTACAAATGATGTGTCACATCATCTACTGTTGCTCGTCTATTCGACAGAATCATTTCCTGTGCATGATGACAACATGCACACTCAATGTTGTCATCAGCCATGGATGTGGATGGGTTGTTTTAACATAACCAAAGTGCAGATAATTTCTGACTCAACCTCGTATTTCAGTAAGAAGAAAACTGTACCTAAGAGGAACTTGTATGCAATAGGCTGGGTGAGCTAATGGGATGCAATGGTCACAGCAAAGAAACTGAGAAACAGATTAGAAACTTAAAATGTCTAGTTGATAAAAACAAAAATGATTAACTTCAGAGGGTGTTATTTAATAAGAAGGTGGAATCATCATGAAAGATGGGAAGGAAAGAGATCAGAATTTAAGCATTCTAAGGGTTTTGTTTTTTTTTCATTGCATAACTTAAGACACACAGTGACATTTTTTCACTTGGTATCTCCTATCCAATTCTGGTTTTCGGTCACTAGTGTTCAGTGCATCAAATCTGTTTGAGATGGTTTCTGAATTCAGGTGAAATATGCATATACGGTTGTACTTTGGCCCTCATGGATGGACTTCCTTAAGCTTCAACCTGAACTTACACAAAAGCAGTTCTGTTCTGCAGTCAGCCCCTGGCTTTGTCTTGACTGATGATATTGAGCTTCTCTATCATTTCAATATGTAGTCAGTTTGAATGTTGTGTAGTTCATCCAGTAAGATACATGTGTATAGTCATCGATTATGTTCTTAAAAACATGACAAAAACAAAAATCCTCAAAACTGGACAAATAAACAATATCATAATAAATGGAAAAGAAATCAAAGTTTTCATTCTATTGATCTAACTGGATCAATAGTCAACATTTACGGAAACGGCATTTAAGAAATCAAATGAAATACTGTTTTGGGCAAATCTGTTGCAAAAGACTTCATTAAAGCTTTAAAAAACAAAGATTCCATTTGGATAACTAGTGTTATCCAAATGTCAGTTTGACAATGCACATGTCAGTTTGACAATGAAAAAGAAAAGACAGAAGAATTATGTATCTAATTGGTGGTGTTGGCCAATAACACTATGGATTGCTACAACAATGAACATATCAGTGTTAGACGAAATATAGTCAGAATGGAAGGGATGACAAGACTTCAACTTGCTTATTTTGGACATGCCATCAAGAAGGCCCAGTCACTAGAAACGGGCATCATGTTTGGTAAAGGAGCGGCTCCATCACCATGAGGGAATTTTCAGTGATACAACTGCTGTCCCCGTGGACTCACACAGACCAATAGTCATGAAGACGGTGTATGACCCAGACCCACTTCATTCTGTCACACACACGAGGGGGATTCAAAAAGTCTGTGGGGGGAATCCCATTCTGTTTTAACTCCATTTCCCCAAAAACTTTTTGAAGTTTTTTTTTAAGCCTCCCTCCTCATATATAAAGTTGTCATGAGGCAGAGCTGATGCGATAGTAATCAACAACAAAAAAAGATTTCTGCAATAAGGCATTTACTTTTATAATCAGAAAAGGGAGTGTGCTCTCTTAAAGAAAAAAGAAGTATCAACATGTCTTTGAAGGTTAGTTTGAAAGTCATATTAATGTTGGTGTTTTAAAATTATCAGCATTATATATTCTTTGAACTCTTTGGTTTGATACAATAAGCTCTATAAAAAATTTCCATTTAAAATTCCTTCAAAAGTATAACTTGCAGTATAAAAGTTACCTGTCTTCATAATATTCTTATTATTTCATTCATTTAAAACAAACCCATGGGCCTCGAGTCGATTCTGAATAGTAATCCTACAAGACAGAAGAGAACTGTTCCCTACAGTTTATAAGGCTGCATATATTCAGGAAGGGCAGCTGGCAGAGCCAAACTGCTGGCCTTTTGGCCAGCAGCCCAATGCTTAACCCAATACACCATCAAGGCTATTTAAGTGTTTGAGTGAAGTTAATTTTATATTTATTTCTGCCTATTTATTAGTTGTTGTTGTCAAGTGCCACTGAGTCAGTTTCAACTCACTGGGTTCCTGAGGAGTGGCTGACTTTGTGGTCCAGTGCTTATCCTGCAGCGCCACACCAGGTCGCCTACTTATAGGTTGTTGTTGTGGTTAAGTGCCTTTGAGTCAGTTCTGACCCATATCGACCCTGTATAGGGTTTCCAAGGAGCGACTGGTGAGCTTGAACCACCGACTTTGTAGTTCAAACGGCTTTGCAGTCTGGTGCAGTAATTCACAGCACCAAACCAGGACTCCTACTTATAGGTATATAGACCAAATTACTGATTGCTGTTGTTAAATGTCATCAAGTCAGTTCCAACTCATAGTGATCCTGTATAGGGTTTCCAAGGAGTGGCTGGTGGGTTTGAACCACCAACCCTGTGGTTAACACTCTAGTGCTTATCCTGCAGCACCACACCAGGACTCTAAATTACTGCTAAGATGTTAGGAATCTGGCAATTGATTTTTTTAAAAAACGGAAGTAAAATTCACTATTTTAGCCATTTAAAATGTACAGTTTTGTAGCTTCTAGTATATTCACAATGCGGTGCAATAAATATCTACCTATTATTAGTTCCAGTACATTTTCATCATCCCAGAAGGAAACATCGTACCCATTAATGTCACTTTCCATTTCCTCTTTCCCAGGTATTGGTGACTACTAGTTAGTATTCTGCATCTGTATTTGCCTGTTCTGGACATTTCATATACTGTGGAATACTACAGAATCATACAACGGAATGCCATTCATATCCTGCTGTTTTCATTTAGCATAAACGCTGTCAGGGTGTATCATGTTGTAGCACAATCAGTATTTAATTCCTTTTTATGGTTTGGATACTATTTTACCCCATGGATACACCACATTTCTGCATCTTTGCATCCATTCATTAGTTGATAGACATTTACTTGGATTATTTCCATCTTACTTCCCCCATTTCAATCATTTAACTCTACATGTGATCTTATGGGACATTCAGGGAGGGAGGCACACACTAGCTCCCATCTTCCCCCTTAAACGATTACTCCTATTTACAAATTCCACAGGGTTTCAGTTTGGTTAGGTTAAGAGCTGCTTTATAAACAGTGGCACACTCATGTCAGATCCTTCCACTTGAATATATTTGTTGTAACCAGCTCTTGATTCAATTCATGTGGTATATTGTCCTTTCAATTCGAGCACGAGCTCTAAAAGGCAAGACCAGCATCCAGCATGTCATGCATGCCCTTTTTAACCTCAGCGTATACAAGCTTTTTAATTATATAAACACTGACTTAGCTTTTGTTTTTTTCTAAGAGTTCACATAAAAATTTACCCTTCCTATTATACATTAAAAAAAAAAAAATCAACTGTGGTGTTTTCATTAAAAGAGGGTATCTTATGATTTAAAACTCAAAAGGTTAATCTATGGAATGAAAATATAACACATTTTAAAATATCTAAATCTTAAAATACATTATTTTAATTAATCCTGAACAGTTTAAAATACTTCAGCAGGGTTCTTTACTTAACACTAAATAAAGAACTTAACATTATCTTATGAAGTGTCAGAACAATTTGCAACTCCATTTCAGCAGTGAACAAGGCACTAAATTAGACATCGCTGACCTTAACATGCCTTCAAAGTCAAACCAGGGTTTTCTGGCTTTGAACATGAAAAGATATAACTGGGTAAATACTTGGTTTATACAGCAGATTGGCACATTGCAGAAGTGACAAGGCTGAACTGGGGGAAAGACTAAAAGCCTCATTCTACCCAGGCCATTTTTCAAAAAAAAAAAAAAAGGTCTTCAGTAGCTTTCTGTGGTCCCTTAGATGCAGCCAACCTTGTTTTACCTTCATTTCAGAAATCATTAAAAAAAGAGACAAGGTGCTAGTTATTTGCACCCCACAGGATAACTCAGAACACTACTTCCACATTC